CACTGGGGGGCAGAGAACACAGCCAGGAGAACAGCAGGTCTCTCCTCCAGCACACAGGGGATGTGAAGGTGGTGAGTGTGTGCACACACACACACACACACACACACACACACACACAGAGCTAAGCCTGCACATAGCTCCTTCCTTCCTCCCCAAACCGCGCAGCCACTTCCCTGTGAGATCAGTGCTTGGAAATAGCTCAGCTGCTCACAGCTCCCCACCCCCTCCAAGTGCTGAGACCAAGCCCCAGCTCTGTCTGGTCCTTTGGATTTCTCAAGCTGGGACCCCAAGGCTGAGACTGTTGTATGGAGCAGAGGAAAGAGCACTGTCCTTGGAGGCCCTAGATCTACAGGACCCCAGACAATTGTCTCTTATTCCAGGCCTCAGTTTCCCCAGCAGCACCATGACCACCCAGTCCGTCTGAGATGAAGGCCTAGAGGGCTGGGGAAGGTGCAGTCCATGTCACACAAGGGCATTTTCCCAGTCCTGAGCAGCTCTACGGGGGGTTTGAGATCCCCGTGGTGGTTATGGGGTAAACTGCACTCAGGTCTCTACCCAGATGGTGCGGGGGATGCCCTAATGCTAGCACAGGCCTGGCCCCAACCATAGCAGGTTCTGGGCATGATGGCAGTGAGTGATCAGAAGAGTCTGCATTGTGGGGAGGGGAAAGGAAGGCTTTTGTCTGGCCCATGGGCCTCAGGGGCTGCTGTGTGCCAGGCTTTGTGTGGGTGCTTCATCGGTGTGTACTTAATGGGCAGAGGGAGGGAGGGGTGGCGGGTGGCAGATGGACAAATACAGGGAGGGAGCAAGGGAGGGAGGGGGAGAGGAGGGAGATAAGGAGAAAGGAAGGAGGGAGGGAGGGATTGAAGGATGGATGGATGGCTAGATGGATGGATGGATGGACGGACAGAGGGATGGATGGGCAGATGGGATGGATGGATGGATAGAGGCATGGATGAATAGATGATGAATGGATAGCATGTATGGATAAATGGATAAATAGGATGGGATGGAATGGGTAGATAGATGGATGGACAGTTGACTAGATAGATGGGTTGTTGGATGTTGGAAGGTTGGGTGGGTGGATGAACTACTCTCTCTAAGCCCCACACTCTCCCCCTGGAAGGTGGGGGTGAAGGTGATGCCTTCCTTGCAGGGCTGGCTAAGGCACGGCATGGGCACTAGCACCCTCTCCTTACCCCATTTCCTCACCTCAGATGTGCCCTTGCTTTGGGTTTGGGAAGCGCTCAGAACTGGGCAACACCTCAGTGATGGGGAGGAGACAATGTGTCCGTCAGACTCCAAGACTCCTGCGATAATCCTGCCCTCAGCCAGACCCCAGACAGCTGATGGCTTCCTGATTTCTTTGAATTCAACCCTTCTTTTCTTTCTTAAAGTGTGGAGGCAGTGCAACAGGTATGGGCTTCCATGCTCGGGCTTCCTTGGCCGCCTCGTTTCCCTTGCACTCCACAGAGCCCCTGAGCTGTCTACTGCTGCCCGCCCTGGCCCAGCACTCTGGCCCCTGCTCTGGCCGAGTCCAGAGCCCATCCTTCTGCAGGCAACCAGGTGCACATTGCCCTAAAAGAGGCAGGGCTGCATGTCCTCTGGGGGCCTAGCCTGGACACTTTCCCCTGTCACAAAGCCCCCTCAGCCTGCCAGCCCAGCCTTGGCCAGGCAAGGGTCTGCTGCCATGGTCCTAGGATTTGCCCCAAATTAGAAAGGGCTGCAAAAATGCTATCTTTCATTTACAACATAGGGCATTAATTTTTTTAAAGACCCAACTCCTCACTACTGCAGGATTATTTTACAGAGAATGGAGGGGCAGTGTGTAGGGGACTGACCGGGGTGTTCACTGTCTCCCCCTCCTTTCACCTCAGAGACCTGGGAGCTGGAGGTCAGGAGCGCGGGTGACCCAGACAGTGCTGTTCCCAAGGTCATTAGCAGCCTTCCCTCCCCTGGGCCCAGGGGTCGGGAGGCCCCAGCCAGCACATGACTGCAGAAGCCAGCCAAAGAAGGCCTCCCTAGGTGGCGCCCGAGACACCCCCTGCCTCCTGAAGCCACGGGGGTGACTTGGGATGAGGCCACTGCCACTCTCCAGCACACAGAGCCCTGCTAAGCCCAGGAGAATGTCGCAGGCAGCATGCCGGGGAAAGGCTCCCAGCCCTGCCTGGGTTTCGTGCGGGTGCCCGGGTGCCAGGACAGGTCCTAGGAGATGGGTGGCAGCCCATGAATGTCAGCTCCCTGGGTCTTTGAACCCCAAAGGAGCCAAGGATGGCATCACAGAATGCAGTCTGTGATTTAAAAAGGTTAAAACGGTACTGGGATCGTGAGGTTAATTCTTGCCTGGGCAATTTAGTGAGACCCTGCCTCAGAAAGGACTAGAAACGTAGCTCGGTCTGGAGGCGGTAGGTTCAATTCCCAGGGCCCCAAAATAAATAAAAAAGAAAAACAAAGAAATCCAGGGAAGGGCACAGGTTGGTGCCTGCTGCCCCCTGCTGGATGGCAGGGAAATGCCTGTCAGCCGGGCTTCTGCAGGACAGTCGGAGAGCCGGAGAGTTGGGGGCCTTTCCCGAGAGTGAGCCACCAGCGGACTCCAGCCTCCAAGCCCAGCAGCACTCCATCACCACTCAGCTACCCCCCTTCTGCTTTTCCCTGAGTGTCTCCAGGTGTGGCACAAAAATATCTCCCACCGCAGAGCATCTGGAAGCTGTTCCCGTCTCCCCTTTCACCTCCCCATAGAACCCCAAAGCCCTTCCACCACTTCTGGCACGGCTTGGGTGCACAGCAGCGGGGACCCCCTCCGAGGTTCCTGCCAGGGCGTTGCTTCGTGGGTGCCAGGCTGCCTGATGTGCGGGGAGCGTCACGGTCTTCAGACCCAGCTGCTTAGCTAAGAGCTCCTGACCGGCAGCTGAGAGCTCCCCTTCTCCCCTTCTCCAGCAGGGACAGCCTGACCCGGGGCTGCACTGCGTCTGGCCCTGCGGGGGTCCCCTCTCCCCACTCCCCTGTGGTTTGTGTACTTCTGATCTCTCAGGCTTCTGTGTTTCTGGCCCTTTTAATCGGCTGAGTCACCGAAGCTTCCTCACTTCAACAGAACCTCGACCCACACTGTCTATTTGCAGAATATTTTTAACACGTCCGATGGATGTTTCGACCATGCCAACAAGATGTGCCCGGCTCTGTAACCACGATCTCTGTTGCCAGCGCTGCCGCATCTCATTCCTGGGCCCCTCTCTGCCTGGCCTTGTTTCTTGGAGCGAGGGCCTGGCCCCTGCACCGAGACGGGTGTCTGGGCCAATGCAGTGCTCCTGCCCTCCCACTATGGAACCCCATGTCTCCTATCCACAGGTTGGATGTGACTTTCCTATTCACCTGACACATGGGGGCTTCGGCCCCAGCTCCACTCGAGGGAGGGGCTTCTAGGCACCTCCTAGAATGCCGGGATGCAGGAGAAAGTGCACCTACACCGGGAGGAGACCAGGCTGGTGGCTATGACTGTAAGGCTGGATGCAGCTGGCCTGCAGGGTGTGACCTGAGCTTCCTGTGGGCAGTGGCATTGGCCTGGTGCAGGAACCACAAGAAAGGCTTTCCTGAGCACTGGCTAACACCGCAAATGTGACCACGGGTCTGGGCCGAGTTCTATCCAGAGGGGAGAGAAGAGCCATCCCACAGGGTGGACCGAGAAGTTTGGAGGTGGCAGTGGCCGTGCCTCCTCAGGTGGTGCTGGACATTGTGTTGGGTGTTTGTGCCTTTAGCAGCTCTTGGCACTTGAAGGCTTCACCCCACCCTTCCCAGCCTATCTCTCTCCCACCTCTCGGGGGACCCCAGCACCCACCACAGCTGGAAGGAGCTCAGAGGCCCATGCACACCCCTGCAGCTTCCCAGCTACAGGCACCATGATGGCATCAAGGAGCCCCAGCTGTGGGAGTGGCCAGCAGGCTGTGGCTGGCAGGTGACAGCCTTGGCTCTGCCTCACTGCCCTGGGCCTGGCCACCCAGATGTCCCTGTCCTCTAAGGAGCATTCCCCCCCAGTGTGTGCCATTTCCAGACTTTACCCCTGAAGACTTCCCAGAGAGGGCAGGGCCTGGCAGCTGGAGGTGCCCCTGTGACACCGCAGGCAGTCCCTTTCTTTTGAAAAACTGGAAGGGACCTGGGATTCCAGAGGCCCCCCAGGACCCCCCCCCCAGCTCATCACGTGGTTCCAGACTGCAGCCTTCCCCTGCCTGCCTCCTCCCCCTTCCCTCTCGTGTCACAGAAGGATCCTGCCCTCTCTCGTCCCTAGAGATTTAGGATTGTCTTCCACCGACTTCCAGGTGTTTGACTCCATGCTCAGTGTTATGTTTCTAATCTTCATAAAACGTTATTCATTAATCCGACAGGTATTTAAAGTGCCTTGTTCTATGCCAGTGCTCTGGGCAGGACAGGGCACAGGCTGGCCGACAAAGTCCGCAGTCCTCGAGAAGGGATAAGGTCAGGCTCTCCCACCTGGCCCCACGGCGTCCTCCAGAAACCAGACAGGACAAAAGGGCCCAGAAGCTTAGCTGGGCCCCAGCTGTGGGTGATCATCCCCCTCTGGGCCTGCAGCTCCTGGTGCCATCTGTCCCCAGGTCCTCACAGGCAGAACTCCTTCCCCGTGTCTGTTTATGGTGCCCAGAGTAAGGCTTTGGTCTTGGGGTGGGTAACAGAGGAGCCAGAGTGAAGTGGGGAGCAGATGTGGCCTGCTGCAGCAACCCCCACCTCCGTCCCCACACCTGGTTCCTCCCTGGCGCTGAGATGGGGAGCATGAAACTGGGGAATCTCCTGGCTGCTCCTTCAAACCTTTAGGTTGGGTGTTTTCCATGGTCTGTGAAGGTGGCCACCACCTGTCCCCCAGGTCACAGTGGGGAAATCAGGGCTTACGACCAGCCCTGTTCCCAGAGTGCCACCCTGGCGATCCCCTGCCTGGATGAGGCAGGCACCATCTCCAGCCCTGCAGCCTCTCCCCACACCCAGACTGCCCTCACCTCGAGCCAGGTTCCCAGAGATAAAGCGGAAGAAGAAGCTGATGATGTCGCCCAGGTGCTTCTTGCAGCCATGCTGGGCCTCCTGCAGCCGCCGGTGGGGACGCTCACCACGGCCCGCCATCCCTGATCCCAGCTGGCTGGGCTCTGTCCTGGGCTCTGTTCTCAGGCCACAGTGTGGGTGGCCTCTCTCTGCCCCTTCCTCGGCCTGACAGTTGGAGCCTTTTTCTTTCTAGAACTTTCCTTCCTCCTGCTCTGTCTCTGTGACTCAATCCTGGCGTCTGTCCTCTGTCTCAGTCTGTGTCTCAGCCTCTCCACTGGCTCCCAGCCCCTTGCCCTCAGTGCTGAGCTCCTGTTCCTCCAGACTTTGTTCCTCAGCCTCAGCCGGGGACCCAGGAGCCCTCTGCTCTGAGGTGAGCAGCTTCCTGGGGAGAGCAGCTTCCTGGGCAGGCGTCACCCCCACACCGGGAGGAGCTGCCACTGGTGTGATTTCCACCTCAGAGTGTGATCTCACTGCAGAGGGACCTCACGGTCCCCAAGCCTCTGAGCCGGTGGGGAGCAGCCTCCTCACTCAGCTCTGTCTGAGAGACACAGGGGCCAGCTCTGGGCAGAGTAGGTAGGGAGGAGCCTGGGACTTGGGCTTTCTCTGGACCTCTGACCTCTGACCTATACTCACCGACCCATCCCCAGCCCTGTATGTGCCTCTCCTGAGTGGAGGACTGGAAGGCGAGGCAGGGTCCTTCTGATGAGGACCAGGAGGGAAAGCCTGCTGACCCCGCCCCTCCAAAGTGCAAGATGAACCGTTGCGATGTGCACCTCCTGCTGGTCAAAGAAGCAGGCAGCTTTGTCCTGGGGCCTAAGGATGCGGCTCTCAATGGTATGCCATGCATTTAAGGCAGTTGGAATGCCCTGGGGCTCAGGCAGGCTGGAGTGGAGAATTCCATGCACGCTTGGGTGTCAGCAAAGCCATGCCTCTTTGGCAAAGATCACTTCTACTTTGGACCACCAGCTCTGGGATGCATGGAGGTGGGTGATGTGACACACCAGGTGATCATGGGGTCTGAGCTGCCTACAGGAGCTGGGAGTGGCACCTGGCATACGGGACAGGTGGGCAGTGTGCCTTCACCACACGTATGTGCCAGGCGTGAGGCCAGGGCCAGGCGGGGTGGGCTCGGGAGCACAGATCAGCCGTGTGAGCGGTGCTGAACCTAGGAGTACCCACTGCATGCCCCCTCCCCGTGGCTCCAGGCTAGGGGAGCCCCTGTGACTGTCCGAGGAGGAAAATTCGCCTAAGATCTACAGACAGATGGCAGGCAGCAAGGCCACTCTGCGGCAGGACATGGAGGAGCAACGTCTTCCGCAGGCTGACGCTGTGTGCACCCCTGCCCGCGACGTGGGAGGGAAGCGGGGTCCCAGATTTACCCTGAGGGGCATAAGGGACAAGATTCAAGGAGGGGTGACAAGGAAGTCACTAGAGAACCAGGCCATCAGGGCCTGCTGAAGGCACTTGCAGAACGCCCAGGGCCGCATGCGGAGGCGCTGGGAGCCGTCACGCTCTCCTACGCGAAGGGCCACCGGTCTTGGTTGAAGTCACTTCCAGGGCTCAGTGGCACCGATCCGGCTACCGCTGGTGTCGTTCACCCTAGCGGCCAGCAGGGGGCAGGTCGGCTCTACTGCAGCCCTTCCATCCCGTGGTTATTCAAAGGCACTACATTCTGGGTTTTAAGAAACAAAAAGCGACCAAGACATCTCCCTTCAGCTTGGGGGTGTAGGGGCAGACTCACAGCATTCCTTCCCGGAGAAGCTCACTTCACAACCTCTGTGCCCCAGGGCCCAGCCTCCAGCTTTGTATATTCACCGTGAACCAAAGAAGCAGTTTCCAGAAAAAACCTCAGAGATTTGTGTCTGGTCTGACATCTCGCTCAGAGACGCCGTGGCGTCAGTTGTGCTGAGGTTTTAATCATTTCCGTTTGTGTTTGCCTATCAGGGTCACTGCGGTGGCGACATCATGATCCTGCATGGAGTTGAGGGGCCCTGGGAGGAACTGGGGTCTCCCTCAGGAGCGGGCACTGGCGGGGAGAATATGGGCCTGGACTTTGGGGAGAAGTGGGTGTGTCTTTTGTTCCAGAGACCGCGGTGTTGTGCCACACAGAAGCACGTGGACAGGAAGAAGTGCAGCATTTCCCGGGACCCTGGCTTTGTCCTATACTGTCCTCTGGAGTTCCCGAAAACATCCCAGAGCCTGGAGGATGCCCTCTGCCTCACCGCTGGGCTGGGCTCCAGCTGCCTGCAGCTGAGCCCTCTGCCAGGGCAGGTCTTATGACTCTGTTAGACCACTACAGAGACCAACAGCCCTGCGGGGACCCGGACCAGAGAAGCAGGTCTGTCGGGTTGGTGGCTTCAGCCACGCCCCGCAGGTGTCCTGACAGGAAGGCCTTAGATGCTAGGAGATGTGGAGCACAGGCCAGAGTTCCAGCATTGGGTCCTCCAGGAAGGTCGCCAAGTTTCTGGGCTGAGGGGGAGGGTGCAGCTCCTGGGGGCGGGAGACAGGGTCACCCTGCCTGTCCTTTACACCCCACCTCCTGCGCCTACCTCTAGCACCATACTGGGGGCTTCACAGCCACAGCAGGTGCAGCCCTGGCCCTCACCTCTGCAGGTCCCTGCATCCTGCCCACTCCTCGTTGAGGCCCTTGTTTGCCCACTCTATGCTTGGCCTTGGCTTTGGCTCTCAGCCGTCCTGGACATCTGTGTGTCCCCAGCCTGGCTGCTGCTCAATGGAAAAACCCAGCAACAAGGGTGCAGTGTCTGGCGGCCCAGCTTCCACTGCTCTGGACAGTCGGGGTGCGGGGCCCTCGGGCTGAACGCCCCTATTGTTCTCCATGCCCTGAGCCAAGGAGGCGCCTCATCTGTGCATAGCCAGCGTTGCACATGTGCACAGAGCCCTGGGTGGCCACCTGGCAGGGTCCTCCCTGAGGGACCCTCAGGGACAGCCTGACTGAGGAATGAGGCCCAGGAGCTGAACCCGCAAAAGAAGGCCACATCCGGGGCCGGGCTGCTTGGCTGGGACAGACACACATCCTGCTTGGAGCAGGTGACCTTGCTCCAGCCCTGAGCTCTCCTGGGTTCCCAAGCCCTGGGTGACCTGCTGACCTCTCCTGTCATGCACCTGAGCGTGGTGAAGTGACCGCTAATGTCTCCTACGCACCATTAGATAGAACTCATTCTTGTGGCCTAGTCTGAGGTCTGATAAATGTGCCCATTCAGGGGATGTGCTAGGCTGGGTTGGACGCCCATGTGGCTCTGGCCCTGCCCTCTGTGAGGTGCCTTTGACAAGACCCTAAAATGATAAAGCTTTCCTAGGAAGCTAACCGGAGCTGGGTGAGCTCTCAGTGACCTGGACACCCCTGCAACTCCCTGGATGTGTTTCTCCCTGGGCACCCACACTTAGCAGGGTGGCTGATGTCACAGTGTGCAGACAGGGACACAGCAGTGAGAGGACACAGAAGCCCCAGCCCCAACCTCAGCTACTGCTGCGTGGAAGACAGAGGGACACAGAGGCGAGGTGAGGCGTCGGAGGATCTCAGTGGAGAAGGGGAGCCTTGCTCTGGGGTCCTCTTGAACACTTCCTGGCACCAGGAAAACCCGAGGAGACTGAGGCCATAAGAGACTGGGCCGAGTGGGGACAGGACCCGTGTCGGCATGGCCTCCAGTCCCTGGGAGGCATGCAGTGGCCACGCAAGGACACCATGGCTCCCCTCTGTCCTTTGTTCTCACCCCGATGGAAAATCTTCCAGCCTGCTGCAGCAAGTTCTTGCCACGCTCAGAACCCAGGATTGGGGACAAATGTCGCCAAAAGTGACAGAGCAGCACAGATGGACAGGAGCTCCGAGGGGGAAGGGAAAGGCTGGAGCTGTGGGGTTTGTGGGTTACAGCTGGGGTCCTGGCGAGCATTTGTGACGCCATTGGGCTCGGGAGGCTGGGAGCCGCTGTCCATTCTGTGGACAGAAGCAAGGGCCCTAGGAGTCACACGGCGAGCATAGCCAAGACACCAAATGAGACCCAGCTTTGAAAGCCAAGTGTGCCACTCTCCCTTAAAGCCAGAGGCAGACACAACACACGCACCTTGCATGAGGGCACCAATGTGTGTGCGTGTGTGGCATGTGAGTGTGTGACTGTGATGTGTGTAGTAGGCACGCATGTGAGATGTGCGTCCGTGAGTGTGAGACTGTGGGAGGGAGCTCCTGCGCCATCACACTCAGCAAACCCAGATATGGCCGCGCCGGGACAGTCACTGTTGCCAGCTCCCTCACACTCCAACACCCCGAATGCCAGCACCAGCTCCTGGGTGCCCAGGGCAGGACCGGGGAGGCATCCCAGGTGGCCTCTGAGGCTTTACACGGGACAGATCTCAGGATGGAGCCACACCCTCCCTCGGCCCCGGCCAGTGTAGCCTACCTGAGCCCTGTGGGGCCGCACTGGACAGGATCCACTTGACCAAGCAGCAGCGCATCAGGGCCTGGCGGGTGAAGTGCGGCCTCTGCCACTTGACGCCCTCCTTCCTGCTCAGCGGTGTGCGTCCAGTGTCTCCCAAGAGGCTGCCATCCACTGCCTTGGTGACCTCCTGGAGCGGGGACAGAGAGAACACTCTGAGCCCTCGAGGAACCACACTGTGTCCCCTAGAATCCCATCTCCCAGGACCTGGCTCCAGAAACAACTGGAATGACTGGCGGAAGGAGGAATCGAGCCGGGAAGGGGAGCCACGGCCGGTGTCAGGAGACACAGGGCCTGGATCTGAGTTGTGATCAGTCAGGAGAGGGCAACTGGAGTCCCATGTAGGGCTCCAGAGCAGCAAGCTCTGTGTTCCTAGAATATTATTTCAGGCCTTTTGATCATGCCCCAAAGTGCCCATTGCTCTTAAACTTGTCCGGGGTTCGGCCCTCACGGCCCCTCAGGGCATCTACCATGTCTGGTTTGCTGCCCGGGCAACCTTGCAACAGGGATGGCCCAGGTAATGGTCCCCAGGTAGCTCCGGGCTTGCCCCATCTGTGGCACATTTGGGGGTCCTGATGTCTTTCCAGGATCTTGAGGTTTCGCGTGTGTGACATTTGCACAGTCTGGAAAAGGACTGGGTTGTCTGCAGTAACTAACAGCCCCAATGCCCCCGGAATCTCTGCAAAGTTTCTGTCACCAGCATCAAGGTCGAAGGGACAGGCAATGCCCTGCTGTCTACCTGCTGCCAGCTGAGCTTTATTCACACTCATCCTGTCCTTCATGGGAACTGAACGTGGAGATGAGGCTGGACAAATGTCCCCAAGCCTGTGGAGGGGTCTGCTGCATCCGGCAGGCTCTGGGTAGAAGTCCTGCGGGGACTCCCCAGATCATGGACCCTGGAGATGCATTCATGTTCAGGCTGCACGGCCAGTCACCCTCCTGGGCAGCCTCTGCTCAATGGTGCCCTAGGTAGGGCAGTGCCCAAATGCCTTCGCCCTACTTCTGTACCTCCCCAGCTAGCAGCTACCAGAGCCCCCGCTCCCAGTTACTACCCTGCTCCCTGTGCACACCACAGCAGTATCCCATCTCCCTCCCTTTCTCCCGGACTTGTCCAGCCCAAGGGCCCTGGGATATGTAGAGCTGCAAGGTCTGGCTGTCCTGCTGACGGGGCTGGGAGAGGGGAACGAGGGGGCAGGGACAGGCTCCAGAAATGCGAGGGGGAGCACCCTGGACGCGTGTCCTGTGCACACGCACTTGTGCCCACATTCACATGCCTGCACACATGCACACACGCAGCCTGCCTTGCAGGCTGGGTCAGAGCGGCACTTCCTCCATTATTAAAGGTCTTACTCAAGAGACAAATGGCCTGTATGAATGAATTTTTCTTTCGGGGGGGCAGGGAGATGGGCAGCTGCGCCTCATTGCTTTCTGAATTCCTTGTTGCAGCTCTGTGTGGGGTGAGTGGAGATCATCAGAAGGAGAAACTGAGGCAGGCTCAGAGCCCATGAAG